ATTGTAATAGAAAAATACTCAACAATATTTTTTCTTCAAAAACATGAATGCGTGTTTCTAATCTTATTTAGTGAAGTACATAACAGCTTAGTTCAATCGATCAGACTAGATTCACTACTTATCCGAGTGTGTGGTGTGGAATAGCAACATCTGCTCTGTGGAAGATCATTTCACTCCTAGAAAACACGAAACATAGCAAAGAACTATCTTTTATGTAAGAGAGATGCTGTTAGTCCTAAAAGTTATACTTTGAAACACTGATTTCACATCTTGTTATGATGGTTTTCATTATCACATACTAGTTACATTGCAAAGTAGTCTTATAAATCAAATGTTTCGAAAGAGAAAAGATAATTCAATATACTCGTACATCATTACTCGTATCACACAACTCATGCAAAAACTGCTCTCAATACTCTATTAGTTATAAAAAAAAGACATTTACTTATTTTATTATTCACATAGGTTCACAATAGTGGGTATTGTTTGACTACTTCAGTTGAAACATTTTTGTCCCAATGCTTACTTCGTGCACATTGCTGTGTTCGCCAGATTCAAAGGTAATTTCTTAAATTTTCCTCAATTTATGTTTAATTTATCAATAATTACATTAATCAGAAAGAACGTTCCAAGTCTTTCTGTACTAGCAACTAGTGTTTTTTATCCTAATCACGCAGTTGCCAGATTGGGGCATTTGGCCCCCAAAGTGGGGATTTTTTTTCGTTGTAGGGAAAGAATGAGGAATACAACTGGTTGGGGATATGTTTGGAGAAATTATTTTCTTCCGGAGTCGAGATAATATTATTCTCTTATTTATTATGAATAAAAAACATTAGACGTCATTCTCTCTCCTATTTATGTATCAAAAAGAGGCAGACGTAGAGGAAGAAAAACAAAGACAGGATACGGCTTCGAGCAGCTTTTAGGACGACGATTGATTTGAATTATTTGAATTTAAGGCGATAGTCAATGGAATCATCAGGGGTAGCGCATGTCATTGGTCCATAATTTGGAGAATATTTTTCGTTTTAAAGGAATTGGGTTTCATTGGAGAAGGCATTTGAAGAAATTCCGAAGCAGTAGAAAAGAAAGAGCTAGCAACATATCTGGCAACCCTGTCGTCACGAGTCTCATTTGTCTTCCAAAGAGTTCAATCGCGCGATGCCATTATTTACAGAGAAAATTTAAAGATGCGTTAAAGTAATTTCGTGTGATTATACGGTATTTAATAAAAATATTTACTTAAATAATGAAGGGGAATTCTTTGTCAAAATAAACTTAAAAATCACGTAAATATTATTTAATACTTCAATTAGACACGCCTGTGATAAATTAAACCTAAAAATCACATGAATGTTACTTAATAATTCAAACTGATTTTAACAACAATATCATGTACCTTCATCAATCTAGCATGCGTAATGTTATCTTGACCGTTGGCGTTACTAGCATCTTACCGCAACAAGTTTTACAAATATCTTACAAATTATTTGCATCTACCCAGATTACAATAATATCCGGCTATTATCCCATAACAACTACCATTCGACTCCCTATTTATACTTCGATCAAAACTAGAAATCCTTTGAAGGTCATGAGCTGGCAGGACGGGAGAACTGTCATCCAATCGTGAGCTTCGTTACCACTACATTCTTGGTATTTAAGCACTCGATTGGTTGAGTGCCCCTCTTTTCAGTTTGTGGCCTTGCTAAGACTTACTGTTTTATTCGAAATATAAAAGAGCGAACGATAAATTCGAACCCCCAAATTGATGAATTATATTGAATGGTGGGTATGTAAACAGTTCAAGAAGCGTATATAATAGTGTAAGCTCAATTCGCCTCCACATTTCCAAATTAGCGACGAAGCTTCGACGTTCACGTGTCATATAAAACCCTCCTGGATCTGTAAAACATAATTTTCAATACATTTATGAAAATAAATCTTTAAGGCCACGTTATCTCTTTCCCTGCACGTATTACGGAATTAGAAAATTGATAGTATCCATCGGAATGGCCATCCAATTCAAACTGCATTATGTAATTGCTCTCTCGTTCGTTCGCATTCATTCCACGCACTTGCGACCACGGTGTCCGTATCTTACACCGTGACCATAACTTTAGGGGCGGATTTTGATGACTCAAAACAACTCCAAAAATATTAAAATGTTTTAAAATGACCTAAAGCAAAGAAAAATGACTTTAAGAAATGCGATCGAAACCAGTTCGGATGAATAACTCAAGCGCTGTTGGATTCTTTACTGATGTAATCAAGGATTCTTCTATTCGTTCATATGAACTCAGCTTTCAAACTTTTAGTTTGGACTGATCTTTATCTCTGTCTTTAGTTATCTCGAAATCAGCTGAAAAAATGGCGCTGATAGTTGTCACAGGAACCTTAGATTACATACTCACAATGTCTGACATTACAACTTATGAGCGACGAAATCGAATAGGCTACTAGCTATATGTACTCAGGAATTCTGTGGAGAACATTTGTTTCATCTCATAAATGTTTTTCGAAGCAAGTACCATTAAAATCAAGGAATCAGTAAACAACGCATTGAAAAAACGTAAATTTCGTAAGACCGAATTCGCTCCGTTGTTCTCATGTTCCATTCGCATGACCAATTCTTATATATGTGTTCACTGATGTTCACCAATTCTATTGTATTTCAATGGCTTACCTTTCCTTATATTCAAGTACTAATTGTTTTTGGTTGAAGTGGAGTTTTAAAACTTAAGTGACATTGTTTCGTACGATTCCTAGTTGCGTATAATACCAATGTAGGTTGCGCAAAACAGTCCTTCAACGGACATTTCATCACATGATTTGATGCATCTAGGTTTGCGCTGGCAAGCGGGCCATTGACCACTTGCTAATGAGCAGGGTTGTCAGCATATATACTCTCTGGTCAGCAGTGTTACCAGATGTGTTTAGAGGGATTCCGCCATGTTCGTTTCAGTTTCCGTCGAAAATCCGCTGAACTGGTTTTAAATTTCCCGCCTAAATCCGCTAAACGTAAAATAAATTATTATATAAAATATTAAAACAAACGATAGACAATGACAAATTCTTATGAATGCATGAAATAGATAAGGACAATTGCTCATTCTTGGTCATAGCCGTCGTTATTGGCGTATTCGAGCCCCAATATTTTAAAATAATAATAAAAGACGCACTAATGAAGGCTGAATTGTCTGTCTTTTATTATTACTTTAAAACGTTTCTGCTCGAACACGCTATGTGTCCAGGCCTTAATAAAGAAGATTTGAAATTCGGCTTATTTTCCACTGTTTTTATTAATTTCCGCCGTACGAATTAAAAATCCGCTGAAAACGACGGGAATTCCGCCGATATGGCAACACTGGTTGTCAGACGTGCCATTTTGCGAAGTTTTTGCACATTAGAACGTTAAAGCAATCGAAAACACTATCGATCTTTAGCGCATGCGCAGTTCAAGTTTCGCATCACGTTTGTGGATATGCGTATGCTCAGAAGACCAAGATTGCGGTCAATTGCTGCCCGCCAATACGTCCAAAAACTCCCAAATTATCGAACATTGACGTTATTCGGGAGTATGTGCACGCCATAGCGTCAGCACAATCGATCTTCTGCGCATGTGGAGATCCACTAAAGTGGTGCGAAACTTGAACTGCGCATGGACAGAAGGTCGATAGTGCTTTAACGTTTGAAGTGGTACAATAATCGTAAAGAAAAAGATACGATAAACGTACGATAATGTGACCAATGTACTATAATCATTTTTACATGATGTAGCGTGCAGTTTTAGCATTAATCGATATAGCATGCTCGAGTGATCGATTAACATGCGATATAAGTCGTCCGCTAAATTCGTCGAAATAGCGGGCACCCTACCATTTCGATTACAGTTTGTCGTGCCGAAACTCCTTACTAAAAAAAACTTCTGTTCCATTGAAACTAAGTTATATTTGCTAGAAAAGTTCTTGAAAATTTATTAGTGGGGTTTTCGATCAAACATGTTATTAGATGTACGAGTAATTTAGCCAACTCTCAATATTGTAATAGAAACATAAAAACGTATCGACGTCTATCAAAAACGCCGTACATGTTTTCCTAGGACTTCTGTAAAAACAAGAGATTCCTGCTGAACGTTTCTACGACGGGACGCATTGTCAAATTACTTCGAATAATGATATCTCGAGTCGCTTATCTCGCACAGGAATTAGAGTCTGTTTCAGAAAACAAGAGATATTTTTAGTAAGAATCTCCTAAAGAAATATTTCACAGAATTCCTAGGTTCTTTACCCCGTGCTTCTTTTGTGAGGGAATCTCTGACTCGCGGAGTATGCCGCATCCTTAAATTCTATTTAAAGGTCATTCGCTATCCTTCGTCAGACGTCCCCGCTGTTAAGTTTCTACAGGATATGAAATAAATCCTCAAACGTAGTTTGCTTGTTAGATTCGGCAAGGACGAAAAGTGAGTTTGTCGAGTAAGTAAGAGAATGAGTGACAAAAGTTTTGATATTTGTAACAAATGATCCTAAATGTATAAATTATGTCATTGTTAGTCGTAATTTAAATTGTTAAGAAACACATACATGTTAACATATGTGTTAAAGAGAACATGTAAATGTTCATAGAAATTTGTACAGTTATATTTGATGTACGCTTTCAGCAATCTTTTAATCTTCATTCCACCTAAACAATGCCATCTTTTGCTAGAACAATTGGTGACCGCTGAAAACAGGTTAAAGAAAACATACATAATACAGATGTACATGTTAACATACGCCTTAAAGAAAATATACATATATGTTCATAGAAATTAGCACAATTATATTTGATTTCCGCTTCCAGCAAAGTCACAATCTTGGTTAAGTGACCACTTAAAAACCAGCCGTAATTTGCCAAATACCATCAGTGACCGCTTAAGCCAGGTTTCACTACACTCACCTCATCTTGCGACAAAGCCTTTTCAGCCGAATAACTCGTCTTGTGTTGTCTGGCTGTTGCAGCGAGGGGCAGGTAGCGGTCGTCGGCCGCGGATGTCCTCTGCTCGCCCACCGCAGGGCCGCTACTTCCGGCGCGGCGGCAGCTTTGGCGGCGGGGGCGGCGGCATCGCCAGCAGCACCTCCTCCTCGGCGAGCGCGAGCGGCGCCAAGGCGGCCATGAACGCGGGAGGCGGCGGGGGCGGCCCCGCTTCGCTGCCGGCGGAGGCGGCGCGACCCAAGACGGCCCCGGCGACGGGCTCGGCCTCCGCCCCGGCCCCGGCCGCGGCGCCCGGCCCCGTGCCCGAGACGGAGCAGGAGTACGTCGAGTACTTCCAGGACAGGATCACCTCCTCGCAGTACAGGCAGCTCTTCCCGCTGCAGGAGGACCTGGCCGACTGGATCAACAAGACGCTGGGTGAGTGGAGCACCCACGCCCCCCCCCCTACGCCCTTTACGTCAGCGATTCCCAACCTTTTTCTTGCACTGACCCGTTTCAAAAGTATCATTACCTTAATCGATCTCCCCTTGCCTATTTGTCTATAATGTGCAGCGTACAAAATAATTATAACGCACATAATTGCTCATAAATGACTTGTTGGCAATTAGTCACATAATATGAACAACAGTTTTGAAAAAAATGGTTTATTCCTTTTTACATTTTCTCCCGACGAAACTTCCATTTTTACAAACATAAACAAGAATTATTACATAGATGTTTTGAAACTTTATATAAGAAAACAATTATCTACTTCATTTACATTTTTATTAACCAATAGAATCTTGATTAAACAGATCAGTTGCCGATGCATATTCAGCTATTGACCCTCAATCGACCCTCTATCATTTTTATTATACCCCCTTTAAAATTTCATCGACCCCCTAGGGGTCGATACCGACCCTGTTGGGAAACACTGGTTTAGATTATATAATATCGGGTTAATTATTTTATGGTCCGGATTCGGTTTTTTACAAAACGATTCGTTTCTGCTTTTGAAACGGTCTCAAACGGGTACAGCAAGGTAATAATTTTGGTATCTGACTCTGTTTAGAAGTTACGATAATACTGTGGCGCAAACCGGTACCTGAAGCTCAGTGGCTAAAGTCGGATACGAATACGCAATAGCTCAGCCATCTTTTTTCATCACACCTCGCGTCAGAGACACGGATACCCGTTCTCAACCTCCACAAACTCGACCGCCAACTTCCATGGGAAATGAAGTCGTAAGCTTCCGCAGCCAGAGTCATGTGCGTGATCTGGTATGACCGACCACGACCGACCACATGGAAGACTGGTATGACCGACCACAGTATGACCAATACCAGCCCTGAGGAAGACCACGACAGCATGGTCGAAACGTCGGAAACACAGCCTTCGACGCGGCGTCACCCGGACAGCCCAGATCACGCACAACTTCCATGGAAGCCAGCTGCGCGGCATGCGACGTAATTCGGTTGCACGCTCGCGAGTTCGCGGCTGATGGACGAGCTCAAAGGGGCTGTCGGGCGAGGTGACCTCAGGGAGCTCGACTACCCGCCACGTCACGTGCCCAGCTCGATCCATCACGCGCACTTTTCTGCCATTGGCGCCGGGGCTTCGCCAAACGACGGAGCGAAGTGGGTGGAGCGGCCGCGCCGACGGCTGACAGCTTGAAGGATTGCCGGTTGTGTTTCTTGAGCCGTTCGCCTCGGACGAGAAACGTACTGCGCGGAAGTTAAGATTAACGCTGATGCTTCGCCTGAGGAGGAATGTGACGGGAGGAGAAATGTACCGCGCTGTGTTTTTGCTTGTCCCGTTAAGGGATGAAATTTAGAGAAAATCTATACTGAAAGCGTTTTAGTTCTAGAGTTGGGGGGATAATACCTGCGCCGGGCAGAAAAGATGCTTGGGAATGAATTGTTACCAATGTACAGCGTTTGGGACAGTGGAAAGTGACATTATTTACCCAAACGCAAAATAACCATTTGATCGAGAAAAACCAAACAACGTACCGCGGTAAGGTTAGCGAGAAAATAAAAACCTAATGATCGGGATTATTGAATGACCATGGCTGTCCGGGTGACGCCACGTCGAAGGCTGTGTTGCCGACGTTTCGACCATCTCATCGTGGTCCTCCTCAGGGCTCATCTGCCTGAAGAAGCGGTCCAACCCTTAGGAAGACCACGATGAGATGGTCGAAACGTCGGTAATACAGCCTTCGACGCGGCGTCGCCGGGACAGCCAAGATCATTCACTTGACTCCGGTCGCGGAAGCCTACGATTTCATCAATCAAGATTATTGTTCCAGACGGTGTTTTTAATAGAGGTTGCTGGAATGTTATGATTTTTTTAATTACAAACTACAAAAGTTAACAAATAATTTGTTGGTGTCATTATAAGATAAATTATATTTACGTTCTGGAAATTAAAGGTAGTGTTAATTGTATCAAGCAAACATTCAGGAAATAAGGCTTTAGGGGGCCGTGAACGCTGTATTGCGAATGCGGCAATGCGAGCGATGTCAATGTGCTGGATATTATCGTATCATAAGCGCTATTGATCCCAAACAGTGCACGAGCATTGGCGAACAATGCCGCAGCTTCCCCTTCGGGCCCCATTACAGCAAGGGGTCAAAGGGGCGGTCGGCGCCTCCTGCTCACCCTGCATCCGAGATTGTGCAAGGGCCAGGGGCGGGCCCCAGCCTTCTACCCCCGCTGCAACTGGGAAACTGTTTCCCTCATCCTTCGAGCGAACGCTGAGATGGCCCCTTGTTTTGCTTCTGGACGTAATGTAACTTCACAGTCTGTGCACGACTTTTAGAATTCTGTGGGTAATATATTCATTCAAATTACCGTTTTTCATGTTCTCACGGCAGGAAGTCTTCCGCGATTCCTTCATGAAGGTGGATAACAGCCAAAATCTACAGCTGATTTGTCTTTGCACATAGTTTTTATTTCACTGAAGCGATTTTTTCCTATCAATTCTTGCCAAAAGTGCTCATTTCATCTGTAGTCAAATGCATATGGTTTAAAGTAGGGATCTCAGAATTTCAGAAAACGTGTACAGAATAGAACTTGGTAGCGTAGGCTTCATCGGCCGGAGTCAGTAACTTCTTGGCTGACTGGGAGATAACCTAGGTACCTAGATAACCTAGATAACCTAGATCCTAGGTACAGGTGCCAAGTATTCGACCGCTATTCTGCGACCTTTCTCATTTCCTTTTAAGGCATATCGCTCTGAGGTAGGTCGCAGAATGGTGGCCGAAATGTTGGCACCTGTTTCTAGGACGCGGCGACTTCGAGTCTCGGAAACGTGCGTAAGTCCGGCGATATGCAAGCAGCATCAATATTGGAAAATGACAAAAACATTTTGTATAGAAATCCAAGGCTCTGAGGCCAAAATACTTAAGGAATTATTTATTGCTTATATTATGAGTTACACCCTAGTATGTATTTCTTTCCACCAGAAATTTTCACCTCGTACTTGTGAGCCTTGCAACTACGAACCCAACGTGAATGTCAACTCTCCCATTTCACGTGCACTTAATTAAGGGACATGCATTCTAATTCTCTCTTTTGTGATAAACAGGTAATGAACACAGTTTGCCTTGCGTTTCGTTCATCCACTTGCGATGGCTGGCGCAGCTTTAATTAGGGAGCTGCGGGGGCTCTAGCTGACGTCGAGAAAGCGAAGCAAATGAGACACGGTTTAGCACGAAGCAGGGGTGTCGTAATATCGCGGCATAAAAGTGAGATTGCGCGAAAAAAGGAAAGTGTATTTAGTATTCGCCACTCATCTCGAGAACATGAAAAAAGAGTTTCATTGGTACTTTTAACTTTGCACAACACTAATTTGTATTATGGGCGTATACACATTTCTTTACTGCTGTGAGTGTGCAGTTGTGTACTATGAGCTTGAGAGTAGTTAATATTTTTCTGCTAAAAACTATGACATTAATTAAAAGTGAAGAACAGTTTGCTGTTTCTTAGTTTAAATTCGACTTTGTGAAAATCGAACTTTTGTATTGTGGCTTTCAAATGTGGAAATACACCATTTCATTTTTTTTCATGTTTGAGGTTATACTGTACTTTTTTATTAAAAACACATAAATCCACCTAAAATTTTGCTGTTGTTTTTTTTCTAGTACTTTTCAATAAAAAAGAAAGACTTTGTGATATCTTGCGATTCAAATAGTGGCTGTGAGCTGCGAAAGGGTGATGTTTTTTATAAGCGAAGAGGCTCAGAGAAACGAACGACACAGGTGGCACGTTCTTAATAAAACTTGAACTGAAAATCAAATGCTAAAAATTGATTTAAAAAACTTATGTAAAAGGCACCACACACGTTATGCGTTTTTATTGACTTAATTAAATATTTTTTACCGATATTCCAGTATTTCTGCCGAACTGAATATCGCATTAAGCGAACGCATTGATATCAATGTCGCACATATTACGCATACATACCTACTACTACATTATTACAAACATGCGCCCTAGACACAAGATACATGTATCTTTCTTTCTACATAGTTGGATGGAAATGAGATAGGGGCAAAAGAAAGTTGGTGACTGACTTAAATTTGATTGCGATGCAACGCGAAAAAGGCACTACGATAATTTTCCAACTTTACAAGACAGAGATAGGATAATTGAAAGTATTTCCATGAACTTTTGGTCGCGACATAATCAGTTCCTATTTTGGCTTGAGTTGGAAATTGTAATTCAAAAGCGGAAAGAACTTATCCGTTGGAATAAAATTTGAAAACCAATAAAAAATTATATTAAGAATTGATTTGTTCACATTATTTGAATTCATAAATTGAATTATTTAAAAAAAGATATCTCAAGGAAATACTCAATTTAACGTTGACTTCAGGAGTGCAGAGAATTGAAGTTGTTTGTGGACACTATCTTAGAATCTAAAACTAAAACCTGATGAATGATGAAGAATTTACAATTGATACCACTGAAGGGCCTGTGACTGGGAGGTCCTAGGGTTCGAGTTCCAATGGTGGCAGGACTTTCGGCGCTAGTTAGCTAGGTCCAATTCAGTCGCTCTCTAGACAAGAATCTAGTGGTTCTAATCAGTAGTTTTAATTGGTTTCTCCGATCAACACCAAACGAATGCCATAGCAATACCCTAGCAAACGGACTACGATTTTTCTTTCCACTTTCTTGTCCCATCTTCACCCCTTACACACACATACACTAGCATGCACTACCCCATATGCCGGGAGATCAGTCAGACGCTTATAGCTCGCCCCGATGGGGCGGTGCCCCACAGGTGGGAGATACCTTGATGAAGAAAACCTCGCAAGCCGACGGGTAGGTCAGCGTCTGATCTCGTCCACCTCCCGCAACAAAACGCTCTACACTTTGCTCGGTACTAATGACCTTAGCATCTGACGTGCCCCCAAACACTAACCAATCAATTGA